AGTCCAAGAAAAGTGCTAGGAAAAGACTCTGTGCATGTGCTACCAGATGAAAAACAGCTGATGGGGTCTTTGATGCAATTGAAATATCTCTGCTTCACTTCTAGAAGCTTTTGTGGGGCTTTGCAAATCAGCTTTAAGCCAAAAGTCTTAAAAGTTGTCAAGGCTGGACACCCCTGATCCACACAAGTGAAGCATTACAGTCTAGTCTTATAAGATTTTCAGACTGCTGTTAATTCCTGTCTTCAGTTCCAGAGAAAACTCAGATAAATGTGCTTCACATACACTGTCTGAGATATAACTGGAAGCAATTAGGCCCTGAAGCTTCTCTATGAGGAGCATTAACTTATGCCTTTTTAAAAAACACATCTATCTATCTATCTATCTATCTATCTATCTATCTATCTATCTATCTATCTATCTATCTATCTATCTATCTATCTATCTATCTATCTAATATCTGACAGGGTATTAGTCTTCAAACTAATCTCAGACCAAAACTATTTGATCCTGTTGCACTAGTTGTTCGGTGAATAGCCTTATGCTGTGCAATGATTTATTGCTATTTATAATCTGCCTCAACACGGTACAAAACCTACAATCAACTAAACATATAACATAAAAACAGGAAATGTTGATACTAGTATGCAGTATGCAGGTTAGACTGCACATGATCTATTTCTTCTGTATCATCTCACAAGTTGTTTTGTTTTTTAAACAGCTGATATGGAGAAGAAACTGCTAACCAAGATGAAGCTAATTATAAGCTGTTCTGGATGATGACTGTTTCATGCCTGCTTAATCATGCATTAGTATGATTAAAACAAAGATGAACATATGCCAAGAAATTTCACACTCCATATAAATTACCAGTCCAAAGGAGAAAATCCCGTTCTATAATTTTTCCAACCAAGTTTAGATAATTGACTGTGACAAGATACTAGCTAATTAATTAATTTGCTAATTGCTGATTACACATTCTGAGGTTGCAGTGTGAGGTGGGAAGAGAATAAATTTCAAATACTTATGTATTTTCTAGAGATTCTTTACTTAGTTCATACCCTATTAACAAATTTCTGAAAATTCAGTCTCATGTATTCATTGTTTTTTTGATCTGTGCCCCAGGGAATCCTGAGATTCATTTAAAGTTGGTTACTCTATAAAAAAATCAGTGGCAAATAATATCTAAAATGAAGTTTGATAATAGATGTTGCAGTGCCTTTAGAGACCTAAATTAAACCCAGCCCTGCTCTCCCCAACTTGTTGGTAAGCAGGTAATTGGCCCGTAGTGCTGCTTCCTTTTGTTGGATCGTAATCAGATATATTTTGCCAGAGATTAACCAATCTTTAACTTCACCTCCTTGCAGTATGTTAAATTCCTTGGCAATGAAGTGTAGCTCAGTTAGATCAGGCATGTCAAACTGCCAGCCCACAGGCCGGATGCGTCATGTCAAAACCGCTCGCACCATTGCCAGCAATGGGGAAAAAGTCGTGATACGTCGCACGATGTCACCAGTTTAACATGCCTGAGTCAGATGTTTCAACCCAAACCATGCAGTTCATTTCAACTGGTGATGACAAATTCTGGGTCTTCCTTGCCATTTTCTCCACATTTCTGCTATTATTACCAGTTATTTTTTTCATCTCCACCTTTTGCATTCTTGTTATATTTCTTTGCCCAGAACTGCAGTTTCTTCTTTGCAAGTGTTGGCTGGTTCATTGGACTCTCTTTGTTGACAAATTGTAGAAACATTTCTGACTGAACTGAAATTGCTTGTAACGTGTAATTCAGCTTTGTATCTGCTGATTTTCTTGGCTATAGCTGTCATTTGCTGCTTTATTATTTCCAGTGCTACCTTGATCTTCCTTCTCTCTCTAGGTGATATTTCTTTATAACTGTATGAGCAACAACTTGAGAGTGTAGAGTTTGGCAATTTTTTCCAGACTGAGATGATTTCAGACATTGAAGGGATTCCAGAGACAGCAGTCCAAAAAGTGATTTAAATTAAAAAGTATCTATTTGAGTATAATCTTGTTCTATTTCCTAAAAGTTGTTTATTTCCCACCATATTAAATCATCTATTTAATAATACAATATCCCCTTTTATAAATTAAAACCATTATGTAGATTAGCTGGGTTAATCAATAATCAAACATATTCATAATTCAGTTTCTTTTCCCTTTTAGGTCTAATTTTTAAATATTAAACAAATAAAATCCTTATTTTCAACTAATTTGCAAGCATTTAAAATCTAGTAACCAAAATTCCCCTTATCTCAACATCTCCCTTTAACCCTCTAATTAATAATATGAAATCCCCTCTAGTAAGTCAAAACCCCAATTTTCTTCAACCTTATTCTGGCTTTCTTCCTTCGCCAACTAGGCTTCAACATCGATGCTTTTAGATCAAGTAGATCTCTATTATTGTATATGTCAGTGATGGCGAACCTTTTAAAGACCGAGTGCTCAAAAAATGGCCCCGCCCCACCTGCTCACAGGACCACTCACGGCCTCCACCACAGATCTCCCAGGCAGTCCAGCAGCGCTATGGCGGCCACACCCTCTGCCTGCACCATGCAGCATCAACTGCATAATCGGGTGTGAGGGCAGTCTTGTCTACGCTGCCTGGCTGCCATGTCCTTGGCTGCGCTACTCCGTGTGGGCCACGCTCACTCTCCTTCATGGGGGTTGCTGGAAAGGAGGGGGTCGCAGGGGAGGCAAGGCTGGGGCAACTGCATGTGTGTCCACAGGGAGGGCTCCGAGTGCCGCCTCTGGCACCTGTGCCATAGGTTCACCACCACTGGTATATGTTATTTGAAATGAAGGAGACCATTTTATTGCCAGTTTCTGGAAGGACTAGCCCATTTGTATTCATTAAATTGTCTCCCTGTTATTCCAGTTCCCCATGTTTGCTCTGATATATTTGTTTTCCATTCAACCTGTTCTTCTTTCTCAAATTTCTTCTGATTTATATAGAAAGTCATTTCGATTTTCAGTGTTGTCACTTCCTTTTCTGGATTTTTCATCAGCGGTATTTGTTGGTCAATTGAGTCCTCTGTCTTAGTATTTGATTGTCCTACTTCTTCTGTTATCTTCTGCATTGTTGGTTCTTTGGTTGTAGTCAAGTTTGGATTTGTGTATCTAAGCTGGCGTCTTGATCTTTTATGTTAGATCTCATTCTATCACAAGCTAAGAGAATGATTTCATGTATTGCTTTCAACATGGAAATAATCTTTTCCTGGTTTTCATCCATCTCTTTCATATGTTTGTAAACAGTCTTTCTACTAAAAGTTGTTTGTCAAGCAAAAATTTATAGTCCAAGGTATTTCAACGTCTCAGATAGTGACCAATATTCCTCAAGTAGAGAGACAGGAAAGCAATTTCCCACATACAACTCTGAAAGTCAGTAAAGGTTTACATTCACAGTTCCAGTAGGCCAGTTATGACGCCCAGCTGTTCTCTTATAGCTAAGTCTCTTACAGATGGTGCCAAGGTCAGAAAAGTCTTATCTAAGGTCTGGGCTCCAAGCCAAATCTCTTTTAGGAAATAACAAATTGTAATACCAAACTTCGCCACGAGATGTCACTGCCATTTAAGGTTTTTTAAGTCCAAAATTTTTCTAATCCTTTATCCAATTTTATTTCTTTTTTGTAGATAAAAACAGTCTCCAGTAAAAATAGGAAAATTTTTGGTCCCCAAGTTTCAGAAACATATAAAACCAATTAGATTAAAATTGTTCTTTTAATGCTTTGATTCCCCTGGGTAGTCAGACACCACTATTCTTAGAGGGTGGGATAGAAATTCCCTTCCCTCACTCCATGGGATAGATATTCCGAACAGCTTTTACAGGAAAGGTACTTAGGGTAAAGAGAAGATCAGATCTCACTCAATTTCATCCATGTTGCTTTCGAAGTGTTTGATAGTGAGTTGACGGGGCATACTGCTATGGCTGGTCTTTCCTCCACCAGTTTGGAGGGCTGCCCTGGATTGAGCAGAAGGGCTACCGCCCTCCTGCGATCAAATGGGGATCCCCTCCTTGCTCATTGCCTCTACAAGACGACTTTCAACCCTTTGCAGGGCCCCCCAGTGAAGAGAAATCGGATGTGGAAGACGGAGCTTGTCTTCCAAATGTCCGCAGCGACTGCCTCGGCAAACTGGAAGTCCCCTTTTTTGTTAGCTGTATGAATTTAATCTTCTACACATTGCCCCAAGGAAAACTAGTTTATATGCTGTTTTGTCAACAGTATATAAAAAAACCTTTTCATAAAATATCAAAGAATGAAATGAACTAGAACTAGAAAAATAGCTGTCATGGGACATCTTACCCTATACTTATTAAGATGATGGAACATCTCTGTCCAAGTTTTTTTGTTTGAGCCAAACTAGGAGTTTGCAATAATTAAGTTTTTCTATAAAACAGATGGCATCTGTACCTCCAGTATTCATTGTAACTTATTATCTGTTTAAATTACAGTTCTGATAAGTTCTAAATCTGAATATTATAAATCTAATCTGAAATAAGATAGCCATATTCATTGCTTCTCTAGGTTCTCATCATACAAATTTGTAGCATTATGAGGAAACACCAGCATAATCAATCACAGGCCTAAAACAAGATGCCTTACGCTATATAGGCATTGTACAAGTACCTATGAAGTAAAATGTACTGGTAGAGTTGAGGAGAATTTTAGTAATTCTTTGGCTCTTTATAACTATATGAGCAACAACTTGAGTGTGTGGAGACTGGCAACTTTTTCCAGACTGAGATGACTTTCAGACATTGAAGGGATTCCAGAGACAGCAGTCCAAAAAATGATTGAAATTAAAAAGTAAACTGATCTACATTCATATTTAATTAAAATTTTGCTTTTAAGATGACTCTCATCTCACATATTTAGCTTTCCTCTCCTATTGTCTTAAAAATTATAATTTGGCTGAAAAAAATGGAAAACATATTAACCAGAATTAAAATCTTTAAAAACATAATGAACATAAACCAATAATTTCTAGAAAGAATTTAAACAATTTATTGGGAGGAACTCATTCCCAAGCTTTTAGAGGCATACATGCTACTGGAGCCTCAGGTTTATACTCTTTGTATAAGGGATATAGAAAGAATTTCATGTATTCATGTTCTATTACAAGCATTAAGCTACTTCCAACATCAATGTTAACATTACATGAAAAATCTGTGTCCTGGAAGTTGATTGCAAGACACTTTTCTTTCAGTCAAAAAAGATTTTTTCCTTCTGCAACTGCAGCTGTGAAGTACACAGCCACTATGTAAAAGGAGCTCAAGCTAATAATATTTCTTAACCTGAATAAGTAGCTGATTAAAACTGGGATCAGGAAATCTGCTTAGCATTCATAGAGATTAAAGCAGGAAGCAAGCGACTTCACTCTGGCAAGAATTCTGTCTGCCACTTTTCTCTTGAACTGGGAGACCAAACACACTTGTACCAATACCAGAAGAGGTGGGTCTGAAGAACTATGATATTTTGTTTCACAATTATTCAAAGGAGCAACATTATACCAGCTTATTTGTGGACTTTCATGCAAATAACTGAAAGTGGGATTGTGACATTATTACATGTTTTGCTGTCTAGAGATAGATTCACTTTTCAATTGTCAGAAAATCCTTGAAGTAAACTTCCCAAACTAATTGAAATTCAGTATTAAATGTAAAACTTGTTTGTCCTACTACGCATCATTTCCCAATCTATATTTAACAACTTACCATATTTAAAAACTTTTGTTTTACATCTGACAATAAAGCAACACGTAGTATCTTTGGAGAACTTATTTTATCAGTGTGTGTGTGCGCGCGCGCCTGTGAATGCTTCAATATAGCCATCAGAAGCTAAGTTCCTATAATGTTCGGGATATATTAATTCAGGATTTAATTTTATTCAGGATTTAATTCTAAATTTAAAGAACAAAGTATTTTAAGAGATGAGATGGAAACAGTGAGAAAGATTGCTAGGGCTTTCAATACTACTGTATAATATAAATGAACTGGAATTTTTTTCAGTTAGATCCTGATAAAGATTCTATGCCAGATTTGATAGCTGAGTTATTATCAGGAAAAAAAAAGAAATTTAAGAGCCAAGCACATGTTATAAAGGTATAATTTTGACCAATATCTATTCTGTTAATATAACTAAATAAGACATTATACCCTTGAAGCATTGTGAAGTGCAATCTCACCAGAAACAAGAAATTTGACAAGCCTAATGTTGTACGATGCTTGATAATAGTATTATAAAAAGACTTTTCCATGAAATGTTTAAACACTCAGCATTTTTAAATCTGGCAATCTTGTTTCAAAAATGGCTAAAATGATATGAATACCTTTGAAACATTGAATTCCATGACATGGCTTTCAAGAACTACCAGACAAAACAACATCAGTTGTTGGATGAACTCTCATTCTAACATTAGCAAAAGGTTTCTTGCTGACTCTCAAGCAAATATAACAACCTTGCTGGATTTGTGATTATTTTCCCCTAAGCAATGCTCTTCTATATGGGAAGCTGCTCTTCTGGTAATGGAAGCAGCTTTCTGTTAATGTAGGTACCATCTAAAATATGTCATTTTAGTAAGTATATATTTTGGAAACAGTAACAGCTGTATTTTAAAGTCATTGTACTAGCTTTTTACTGTGGTAATAAGACCACTTTAGAGACCATTCATTATATTGCTGTAGGAATTTTGCTCCCTGATGCCTTTTTTCTGCTTCTTTTATATTGTTCTATAGATATATTATTATTAAAAATCTGTTAAGGAGTAGGAATTTAGAGGATGGTGAGAGAGGAACTACTTTGAAGAAACTGATTAGATTCTCGATGAATATTCACTTTGCTTTTATCAAAACAAAAATGTACAATTTGCTACAAAAATCAAAGGATGGACATAAATGATTTAGTTGCAAATCAGGTGCATTTTTAACATATAGTTCTTTTATATTTTTAAAATAACCTTAATAGGTTATTCTCATGCTAACTTAATTACCTTTAGTTCCCACTGAAAACAATGGAAATGTTAATCATGCCAAAATCCCACTGCTTTCAATAAAGACTAAGTGCAAATTTGTCAAGTTCAGATCTCAAAAAGTTCTTGTAAAAGATCTATTTGAAAAGCTACAACGTGAAAAGTTGTATTATATGAAAAATATAACCAGCAAAATATACAGGATATTTATATAAAGTAAACTTCCTTGGATTATATCAACACGGGTTCATCCACTAGAAAGATTTAGTAATGGCTACTAATTTTTCTTATACCTTCTGTAAAAGAATCTCATAAAAATAAAACAAGTCCATATGTATCATATTTACACTTCTCCCTTAGACAATGGCATACTGTTCATATAAAAGGTCTCTAATTTTATAGAAATCTTCACAGAGACAACCTTCCAATCCAATACGTCCAGTTTCAGTCTGTAACAAAAAATATTATATCCAGTTATTTACTTTTTTGAAAGATTTGCAACAATTGATACATTAAATGTACACACACGCACATACGTTCACTATGTACTTACCCTGCGAACAGCGACCAAGTTATTACACACTAGAACTCCTCCTACAAATTCAGCTTGTACTCCTTCTCGCAACAGAACTTGCTTAAAATCAGACAATCTAGGCTCATTCATGAAGACCGACTGGTGTCCAGGAACCTTTCGTGAAGAGGATACAAGTCAAAATAAAATTTCAATATATTTCAAATATCTGAAGCATCCCACCGGTAAATTTATTCTGTTTTTCTGTCACAAAATTCACATACATTTGTATAAGGCCATAGGAAAAAAAATGACTGTATGTTGTATATCGTGGTAGAATTTATTAAAAGCCTCAATTCTAGTGAGGGCTCTATAACATAAGCAATTTCAAAATCTTTGACCAACATTCTCTCAGAAGTGGCATGCAAATTGATCAAGTCATTACTTACTTATTAATTTATTTGCTGCCCGTCTCATATTGAAATAACTCAATTCATTTGATTGAGAAAGGATCTGACACATTTGAGCCTTAGTGATTTAAAAAAAAGCTTAGCTTTCATTAAAAAAAAAAAACCCAATCCTGACACAGAGAAAAATGCTACTTTTTTAATATTTAATATTATGTATATGAAAGACAGTAGCTCTTCATTTTTTATTACCTAAGGAACTGCTATTATTCTAACATTAACAGATCTACGATTAAAAAAAAAACACCCAAAAAACAACTTAAAAACCTGGGTTCCCGTAATGAAATGTATTCTTTATATATAAGACCATGTCCCAAAGCCATAAAAGCTCACTTTTAAATCTTACCTCATTGGGTGGTAAGGGCTCCAAAGTAGGAATAATTTCACTCTCCTCACAGATTTCTTTGTCATCATCACCAAAGAGACTTTTAATGGCCTTTTGCTGTGCCATAGCACTGGAATCTGAAGCAGGTGCATCTACTTGCATTTCAGTGTCCTCACCATCATCTCTCAGTTCCCCTTCTTCCAAAATTACTCCTGTGTCTACTTTTGATACGCGCATGTCCAGAACTCCATCTATCCAGGCAAGTTCTGCATCTTTAGCTTTACAGAAGTGAAGGGAACTGACTAGGGAGTCTTTTAATCTAACCTAAAACAGAATTTTTTTTTAAATAAAAAAATTGAAATAAACGAACAAGAAAGAATTTATATTCTCAGCAGTACATCAATAGCCAAAGAAGATAATGTGAAAGACAATGACATTACCCTATCAAGACATTATTTTTGGCATTTAAAGTTAAGGAATGGAGTGGTTTAGCAAATAACCAGTTACTGGAACCAGACAGCATTTATGTTCCGTAGCAGACCAAGCTTAGTACATACTGCACTAAGCAATGATTTGGCAAATTATGTAGTTTATTGAAATAATACAATTGCTTGGATCTTTATAGTTCACTCTATCAATCACAATTAATTCCTATAAAGCTCTAAGTTAAAACAAAAGGAATCATGCAAAGACTCAGTGCAAGGGTGAGCCCAGCATGTGAACAAGAGGAAGACCTTGTCAGGAATTATCTTGTTGGATTTTCAAACAGGGAAGTACTAGCCTTGAGGCAAGAGCACATTTAACAAAAGCAATCAAAAAAGAAATATTGGCTAATTGTAAAACTAACCTTGCTACGGATACGCAAATGTTTTATCATCCTATAAGCCAACTTAAAATTATTTATAAATCTTTCTTTTATAATAAAAATATATACAAAATATATTCTGTAAATTATATTAGACTACTGAAGTATGATATAAATAACAATTGATAATAAAAACAGTAAAAACAATTTCTAAAATATAGCTAACATAGTAATATAGTTCAATGACATAAATATATGCAGCAAAAATCATACCTTACTATCGGAATATAAAAGCTCTACCAACCCGACAAAATCATTTTTAAGGAAATGTTTGAAAACAAACAAGGATTTTTTTTTTTTAAAGGAGCCAGTGAGGATGTCTGAGATTTCCTATCAGGTCAAAATATAGAACTTGTTTGTCACACAAGTTTTTTTCACAGATGGCCACGTAACAAGACTTCAAATGCAAATCTCAATTTAGGGTAGACTGACAGAAATGAACCCACAGATTCTCTGAAACTTAATACCAGAACTTTAAAATGTCCTAGAAATGCATCTTGAAGCAGCTCAACAATACAATTTCATGATCAGACTACAGAGCTTACTCTGCTTTCTCTTGCATACAAACCCTTTGAAGCAGGTTCTTTGGAACATGTACAAATCACTTTTTTAAAACATTAAAGCAGTGGCATCTTGTTTCAGGCTTTATATAGTACTTCTGGAAGGTGTTGCCTGAAGTCTCCACATGCCTATTCACCAGAACCACTGGATACAGCTGGAAGCAATGATTTGCCTCATGCACATGGAAATAGTCAGGAGCAAGCCTGGAAAAAGATGTGGCTACTTTAACAATTCCAAAAAGTGGTTCATATGCACTCTTGCATGTTCTGAAGTACATCTTGCAAGTGTTAGTCCTTTTATAAATACTTGGAAAATGCTGAATTGTGTTAAGTATACCTTTGGCATACAAACATGCAAGTCTTACTTGATATATGTGAGTCTCACTGGTTGCATCTATGGTTTCATGCAGTTTGGGCATGTAAACTTTAATGTCTTTCCCCCCAAAAGCTCTACAAGATTCAGTGAGATCTTGACTGGCTTCAGGAGGTCCATGGACAATAATCAATTGCCGTGGCTTCATCTGATTAATAATTTTTTTAATGGAGTCTCCATCAGAGCGGCCTTCATAATCTATATATGTAACTCGAGCTCTAAAAAAAAAGGAGAAAAAGGTGAAGAAAAACAAAATCTAATCTTTACAGATTGAGCTGAATATAAACAAGTCACGACGTAACTATCATTCAAGCACACTAAACTGAAATCTTACATTTTGTAACTATAATGCCATTGTGATTGGTGAATGTTTTAATAATAAGGCAACCTTCCAGCCTGATTAACTATTGAGCCAGTTGCTGTTATTTAAGAACTTTGCAAAATGCTAAACTTTTACATTTAATAAAAAAAGGCAGCAACTCCACTTTTTAGATGTGCACATTCTGCATTGTTAATAACATTTCTTGCAAAGTGAAAAGTCAAATTAGAAGTTTGAGGGCTGCAATCAAGATGAAGTGATGGAAGTCATCTACATATTTAAAAAATATACTTAGGCCTGTGACAATTACTCATCAGGAAATAAAAGGTCAACTATTTTTATAGATCAACACTACCTTAGAAACAGCATGGAAACAGAAAATAGAGCAAAGTAGGTTCAAGGTAGATATGTCATAAAAGGGAATGTGACTCCTGATAACTGCATAGATGCATCCATTAAGTTTCCTTGGCAACAGCAGAGAAGAGGTTCATCACTGCCACCTTCTGGAATTTTTGTTTTTTCTGAATCCAATCTATAGGCGTAGAAATTCCCGGATACTTGCACTCATTATATGATCATAGGTTTGCAATGTTCTTGTGTTAATACAGCCTACTGGTTAATATCAAGTCAAAGACATAGTATTCTCTTGCACGTTTTTATACACACTGCAGGAGAAAATTATCAGCCAAAACAACAATAACCAGTAATTCTGTAGAAAGGTGGGAAAGGGATTGCAAAAGTCTGAAAACCTGTTTTGAATTCAAGCAGTGCAGAGCATCTCATTTTTGATAGTTGCTTTTATCCACTGGGTTTGCTTCTGTGATATTTTAAATTTACTGTACCCAGCATTAATGCACTTGCAATTAAACAACCTTATAAATCAAATGAAATGAATTTTTGCCCTATTATTTAATCAATACTCATTACAATTCATTTGATCAACGTACATGTTAGTGTCTTTATTTTCCGATCTCCCCCCCCCAAGAATCTTACTTCTAATGTTATATTCTGCTTTTTATTCTATACATTGTCACCTAAATTTTATTTTATATAACATCACAGTCCATTTCACAATATTCAGTTAGAAGAATTATTTTGAATCTGAACAGTTTTTTTCTTCATAAATTGTAATCACGCAGTGTCTCACTCAACAACTGCATTGCTTAACAATGAATTTTCCAGTCCCTATTGTGATCATAACTTGAGGATAACCTAGATATAGGTTACAGAAAAATGAACAATGAATGTACAAGTGAACATTTTTAAAATATTAAAAAGTCAGGATCATTTCAATACAGCCACAAGAGGTTATCAGGCAGGTTCAGATAAGGTGAAAGAGACTGCAATAGATTAATACACATCATATTCTATGCTAATACCACCTTCAACAATTCTAAACGCACTCACTTTATTTCCATCGATTCCATTGCTGAAATGCATTTAGTAGGAACATCTGATAAATCCTGATCCATAGGTTCTTCTCCATTTGTAAGGCCAGATTCTAATTTGTTCTTTTCGTCTTCTGTTGCCTGAAGTTCTGGAACGAGGAAATCCTCAGGTCTAAAATGCAGGAAGATTATTAATTTTATACTCAGGCAGTGTCAAGAAAACCTGTGGCACTTTTGCAAATGAAAGTATTATACATGCTCTTCCTTTTATTTGCTAGATATAGTAATATTAATGGCCTAGATCACTGAAAAGTATTGACCAAATCTTGGCATCCTAACACATTCAGAATTCTACCTACAAAATGGCATTTCCCCTCAGTAGCTGCTTGCTTCCTTTCCTCCAAATCTGCTTTAGACAGCTTCTCTGTCCTCTGGCACCATAAAGGACTGTAAAAGGGCCAAATAATGCGTTCCACCAAAGGTTTTCATTCTTTGCTGAATTATCAAGGTTGGATACATAACATTTAAATATAGCATGTATCTTTTCAGAGAACTATTCATTTCATTTGAGATAAAAATGTATTTGGAAAAATGTGCATTCTACATGAAGATATTAAGTCAGTGTATACTAAAATGTTAAGAATATTAGAACAATAGGCATTCTCTCATCTCATACTTACTTGATAATCTCTCCATATTCATCCCACTTAATTCTCTCTTCTGGAGCAGGAAACATAGGATAAGATTTTTTGGCTTGTTTGAAGAAGCTTCCTTTTCGATTCCCTTCACCTTTCATCATAAGATCATGTTTGGTCTTATGAACCGATGGTTGATCAATATCTTCTTCAGCATCACTCTCATCACTGGAATCTATATCTGCTCTAAAGCAAGAGTCCAGAATAATTATACATATGAAGCAAATCAACAATATTTAGATCCTGATTAATTCACTGGCACCTCAGTTCTTTGCTATAAAGGCAAAATAAACTTGTAAAATTATATTCTACATAGCTATTAATTTTGAAGTTAATGAAGCTAACAAACACAAATTACTAGATTTCTGCTTAGGAGGTATTTATTTTTAAGTTGCAGATCAGTCAATCATAAATCATATTTAAAGGTAAATTTCATTAAAGGCAAAGAAAAGTAAAGCCTCGTTTAAGCTGAAATCAGTTCCTAATGACTTTCATGGAAATATCTGTCCAGTTTCTTTGGTAATGTTATGGAAATTACCTTCATGCAGAATCTTTTTTTCAACTTCCCAATCAAGCTCACAAATATGGAATTCCTAAGTGATTCCCCTGTGAATTCTAACCAAGGCCAATCTGGTTTAACTCTCTAGACCAGGGGTAGGCACCCAAAACACTCAAAGAGCCACTTGGACCTGTTTCCCACCAAAAACAAAACACCGGGAGCCGCAAAACCCTTCTGATATCTAAAATGAAGATAACACTGCATATATCCTTTTTTACCTTTATTATAGGTGTGTGTGTGTGTGTGTGTGTGTGTTTATGTATATATATATATATACATACACACACAGGTAAAAAAGGATATATGCAGTGTTATCTTCATTTTAGATGTCAAAAGGGTCTCTCTCTCTCTCTCCCTCCCTATCTGCCCTTGGTCTGCCAGTCCTCTTCCCCCACTCTTTCTTTCTCTCTCTCTCTTTCCTATCTCTCTCTTTCCCTCCCTCTCTCTCTTTCTCTCTCTCCCCCCTCTCTCCCTCTCTCCTATCTACTGCTCACCTGGCAAGCTGGCTTCAAGCTCTTCTCCAACAAGCTCAGGGGTAGGCAACCTTGGCTCTTTTATGACTCATGGACTTCAACTCCCAAAATTCCTGAGTCAGCATAGCTGGGCTAGCTAGCTCTCTCCTGCCCTTCCTGCTTCCTGCAGAGACGCAGCAAAGGGAGGCGCCACGCCCAGAAAGCTTTTCAGCTCCTTGGAGAACACTGTGAGTGCATTCTCTTTTACACACATACAGAGAGAGAGAGAGAGAGAGAGAGAGAGAGAGAGAGAGAGAGAATCAGGGAAACATAAGTGCCTCTCTCTGTCTCTGTCTCCTCTCTGCAAATGGCAGAGGAGGCTGGGAGCCACAGATGAAGGCTCAAAGAGCCGCATGCGGCTCTGGAGCAGCAGGTTGCCGACCTGTGCTCTAGACCATCCAAGGCTGTCTAGGTACTGTTACCTGCTAAGGCACTGAATAAAGCCATTTCAAACATTTTTCCAACTGGGCTAGTTAAATTTTAATTCAAATTGTTTTACTAGTGCAATGAAATTAGAATACTGGGAGTTCTAGTCCCATCTTAGGCAAAAGGTCAGTGGTATGATCTCGGGTCAATCATTCTATCTCAGATCTAGGAAGAAGGCAATTGCAAACCTCTTTTGAAAATCTTCCAAGAAAGTTGCAAGGACTAGTCCACGCTAGCACCAGAAGTTAATACTGACTTGAAGGCAAAAAAACACAAAATCTCAAATAATACTGAAACAAATATTCTAGACTGGATGTTTGAAGAATTCATTAAGAATGTGCATTAATGTCAGGGGTATATAGTAATGTACAGGAGTCTTGAAGGCATATAGATACTCACTCTTTTGACTGCTCTAACTTTTTTGCTGCCTCTTTTTTAATTTTTTCTTTTTCCAGATATTCTTCAAGTTCCTTTCCTTCAAGTTTTACACGTTTCCTGAACTCTATGTCTATAACTTTTTCAGAAGGATTATCTATTAAAAATCGTGCTAGTGTTCCAGGAGTTGTTCTGTATGTCAAAATGATAGAATTTTTGGGATCCTGACACCATTGTATAAAGAGATCTCTTGAAAATCCACAGTCCAGATCTGGCTGGCTAGCAAGAACAACTTTGGGACTTGGAACACGAGCCAAATCTGCAAGCCCATGACAAAGAGACAGATGACGAAATTGGAAAGGATTGTTTCTCTTATCTTCAAAGCACCTCATTAGCTTGTCACTCATCCATTCCACCTGTATATGGAGACAAAAGTACAGATCATTTTAATACCAAGTAACAACAAATTTCCACCAACATTTTAGACAGTAACTTAGAAGGACAGTTGTGTTGTTTTGCAAAGCATGTTTTGATTGCTCCATATAGCCATAATATCTTATTAGATGTTACGTTACTTGATGCGTAAGGCTAAAATATCTACTCTACAATAGTGATTTTCTAATACTTTATAATCTAATAAAACAAACCTGAGATTTTGAGAACTCCACAACATTGTAACTGACATTGTTTAAAAGTGCCAAGGAATAAACTCCTAAACCAGCATCTTTCGTTCTCCATATTTGATCAAGCAGTTGGGCAAGTTCCAAAACTCTACCCGCAGTGTCCACAGCTATTAGGACATTTCCATCACCTCTCAATGTTTCCAAAATATTTGCTGGGGATAAAAACACAAGCAGTAAAGTTACAATATTCGAGCCCTTATATGTACAAAAGTTATTTTACTTGCTGTCACAAAATACATACTTAGCAGTTGCTCATCTCTTTGTTTCCTCCTTGGCTGTACATAAGTAGCATTAAACGAATCAGTGATGAGCAAAGAAGGTCTACTTAACATTTCCAAGGAACATCCATTTAAATGACTGAAAAAGAAATTATATCAATTTCAGTGTATAACTGCATAAATAAAGACAATTAAAACCTGATCTCAATTCTCTAATTTTCAAAAATGTCAATTATTTTTGAATAAAATCATTTTATTAGAACACATGATTTAATTGCAGATTTAATTACATTTACAAATCATCAAATCTACATGGTGCTATACAAATTAGATACAAAGAGAAATCAAATTTCTCTGCCACAACTTAAAAATAAATAGTGGAAGGAAATGGAAAAGAACAAGTAAGGGAGATTGGTACAGTTACTAAAAACGTCACTATAAGGCTTCGCTTCTTGTCACATTAGTTTGGTAGATGCATTATTTACCATATCCTTGCTGCTATCTGAGCTCATAGGTATTTCCTTAACAATGAGAATAGAGTGTAAAAAACAAAGCAAAGAAGGAAAAACCTATGGAAGAACCAATTTATTTGAAAAAATGTTCTTAAAAAGGAACAAATGTTATAAACAAATTTTAAAACATATCATAATTAAGAACAATTTAAATTTTATACTTTGTTCCATGTCAGATTTCAAATTAGTGAAATGACATCCTAAAGAAAATGAATATAAAACAATGCATTATCCTTTAAATAAAATCTGATCTACCACTGTAGACATTATAGATAGGTCCGTAGGTAAAATATGGAATTTACTTCTATAATTAAAGTAGAGACAACACTTTTATAATTAGAACATGGATGACACTGTAACACATTTCTAAATTTATTGCTTTTTAAAATTAAAATTAAACATTAGGAAACTTATTTCCCACTCACAATTAGATTGTATATTTTAAAATGAGAATTAAAGAAACCATGTTTAATTACTTAGTAGAGGTGTGCAGCACTTCTGTTTCAGAAGGAAAAACAACATGTAAGAAACTTGATAAACCATGTTTCTTTTCATGGAATCATACTGCAAGTGAGGGTTCGCCACACAATGCTAGGAAAAGACTTAGGTGATCTATCAATTTGTTAAAAACTCCTGCAGGAGAATCCGTATGTGAAGCATCTTTTCTCCTTCAGATCAGAATTTATTTTGAAACTGACAACTAAACAATGGCATTGCAGAATGAAGGAGGAGATCTTTCATGTGAGTAACATTATGCATTTCTTAATACATTTTAATCATTGTCTAGTAATTTTAAAAACAGAGATTACACCAGATTTCCTTGCCCTCAAATTTAAATCCTGCATGTGAAAACTCTGGCACATATGCAGGATTCTTAAGATTATGAAGTACAGAAAAATAAGGAAATAAGGTTCCTCTGCAGTACTAATTTCAACTCACTTATTTTTTCACTTGTAACTAGGACAAACCAGGTGAGCAAGTTCCAAAAAGTATCAGAGCTATAAACTAACATGGGAAGTTCTCCCCAAGCAATGCCAACTATTTTCACACTACTGCCCAGAAAATTTTATTTGGATGTCCATTGAATCATGGGAAATAAATTTTGATTTTAAAAAAGACTACTTTCACTCACAAAACCATCCAGGACCAAGTGTCTTTAGACATCAGAAATGTTAAGAAGCTGTAGTAGGAAAGTAGCAACATCTGTGTACATACATCTCCCTCTTGTGGTTGAAATCAACTGCATAAACAATTTCCTCTTCTCCATCTTTAACTATTTTCCATATGGTACCTCCTATCATGTGGCCTGCTGGTAATGGAGTGATGGACAAACCATGCCCTTTACCTACAGAAAAAAACCACAATTTTATACACACTCTAATTACATAAGATAATGCAATATAGAGAAACAGAAAGGAAACCCTTTCATACAAGTATTATGAAAATAATGAACAGTCTCATGGAACAATCTATGTCTCCTGATGTTGATAAGAAAAAAAATAGAATTCTGCAATAAAATATTGCCCCATGGAGTACTTTTGATCAGGATTCCAGCAATTTTTCATTCCTTACTCCCTTATGTTTTCTCTTACCCACTACTGATCCACCCCATGGGGTCCACTGAACAATGATTCTAAGACCTCATAGAACCTTATATCAAAGGTTGTTATAGCTACTCCCTCTCCCATCTTCCATGCATCCACACAACATTATGACCTTGGAGTCCATCCCTTATGGCTTTTCCCCTCATTTTTTTTTTTTGTATATATCTAAACACTTCAGATTTCAGCATTTTTAGATAAGTAATGGCTTGGACTACGTAGTCACAAATCAATAACACAAGGTCTGGACCAGAGACAAGGAAAGGATAAATTAAAGAAAAAACTACTTTAATTAGAATGTTATGTACTTAGATTATTAGCTTGACATCATGCAATTGTGTAACCATTTGCTAAGTTTAAAATAATAGGAAGATTTAGTTTTTAGAAAAAATATATAAATCCCAAACAATAAGACATAACATCACTTTAAGAGTGTTCTTTTTCACCTTTCAAATTGACAATCTGAGAAAATTTTAGTTGTTGTATTTTATCAAATGCTGCATCCACATCATCCAAAGTAAACAAGGTAAAGTCTTCGGTATTATGGCGTGACTAGTCAAAAGAAAAGAAAAAAAATATTCTCAGTTAAAATTAGCTACACTGAGGGAAAGTTTAAAATCATATCTCTAAAAAATTGAGACACGAACTTTACCTGGTAGAGGTCATACATGAACATCTGACCCATTTTGTATACAGGAATAGTGGCATAAATAGCACAGTTCAATCCCATTTTTCCTACTGCATATGGGAGAGCACCCAAGTGCAGAGGATCAGGATGTGAAAGAAGTACTGCATCAACCTGGTGAACATGCCTATAAAATAAGAACAAGGGGATAAAATATCCCATTTCACTATTTTTAAAAAACATAGTATTTCAATGACAGTACAGTGTATATCATTTGAGAACTGATACGTTTAATCTAAAATAAAATTTGGGTCTAGAGTTCTATTTTTAAGGAGGAATTTCCAATGAAATAAGCTCTTCTCATAAAATGCTCCTTCAATAGATGGGAAAATACTCTTTTCAATAGAAAGGAGATGTTATCTTGTAGTCTCTAATGTCCTGCTCTCCCAATATGCTCTGGAGGACTTTCAGAACAGAATCTTCAAATAAAAGGGAATATTAGCAAAATTGCACTACCCTGTCTATAACAGGCTATTCAATTGGACTGAAAACATTCATGAACTGAAGAAACCAGCCATCATAGAAAAATACTTAGAAATCAAGCTTTTGCTTCCATGTTTCACTTAAAAGGAGTATTTCAAAAAACTTGTAGTAGTAGTTCTAGGGATGAAATTGAATTCTGATAACAATGTTCTAAACACTATCTTTTAATAGATCTTGCTGATTCTGTCATCCAAGACTACAGATTATACAAAGAAATGCAAAATTTACATGTATTACATTATTACAGTGTATATTCAAGAAACCAAAGCTAATGAAAATCTTACTCTATAGATCTACTCTTAATAAAAACAATTTTGCATGCAAAATCTCAACATGTGGAACTCTGATTAAATGGCATTATTTTTGTATTTGAGAAGTACAATAACCTGCTCCATCATCATCATACTTTTCTTGCATTTATAAGAAAACACAATTCCAACCTAAAAAGTAGCAGACTATTCTTTATAATTTGATCCTACAGTTGTTGTCCCTGTCTTCATGAGCATTTTAAATATATTATTGATTTAAGTAAAGAAATTTAAAGGTCAAACTGGTCAATATAAAGTAGAATTATTCTACCCATTCTTTTTCATATAGTAAGGAAAAAAATCTTAATATAATTTTGTACCAGAATTTTAATAATTTAAACATCCACAAAAGTGCTTTATGTTATATAAATATGCTATAACAAAAAAAAACATTACATTTTTCAAGGGCTCACTTTAACTGAGTCAAATTCTACTTACTTCCTCAGGGAATCAATGATGTCCATAGAAAAATTCTCATCCCAGCCACAATCCAACAAAAAGCGAAACTCATCTACCTGAAGTAAGTAGCAGAGAGCAGATTCTTCCTGAACCCCTGAGAGGGTTGTTAGCTTGATAATTGATGTCATTTTTTCTTCCCTAATGTTCTCACCAAAAATAGTTCCTATAAGAGAATAATTTTTTTTAAATCCTTTGTTAGTTTACATATACAGCTGTGAAAATTTAGAGATACTTAATACTATATTATTTCAGCATATTTCATAGACCAGTGGTTCTCAAACTTTCTAATGCCGTGACCCCATAATACAGTTCCCCATGTTGTGGTGACCCCCAAGTGGGTGTGGCCACCAATAAGAAGGAGTAGGACAGCTAGGGAAAAAAATGGCGGACAGCGTGGTTTGGCGACCCCCGTGAAATGGTTGTTCGACCCCAAATGGGGTCCCGACCCACAGGTTGAGAACCACTGTCATAGACATAAGATCCCAACAGTCACACGAGCAAACTGGCAATTTCCCCAAATCAATGAATCAATCTATGATAATCAAGACTTCAGTGTGATTGCTTTAACTTGAGAGATTAGAGATAAGATCAAATGCTTTCTTTCTTAGAATGATTATATCATTTTTCCTCAACATAACAAACAGGGTTACCAGAAGGGAAGGGCAAGGCACACACACATACATCCTCATCTCAGAAAAAAAGGAATCCAGCACTTACTGACAGGTATTACAATAACCTGGTTGTAACTATAAAGTATTATTCAACATATGAACAAGCCTCAGATTTATCAGGGTCTGCTCTGCTCCATTTTGATGCAGCCCGAGAACTGGAAATTTTCAGTATTTCAACATAACCCTACTATTAGGAGCATATGCATGCTCCTCACTCTTATATAATTTTGTTAGACATATTTTACTTAATTCTGACATTAGCTGTGTACTTTTACTTATTAATGGCCAACTGCTAACCTTATAAAAAATAAAGTGAGATAAAAAAAATCTAATAAGTATAATAACTCAAGGCAACAAATACATATATTACTCCTTCCTATTTTCTCCCCAAAACCCCATCCTGCAAGTGGGTTGGGTTGAGTTTAAGTGACTGGCTCAAAATCATCCATTATCTTTTGTACCAGAAAACAAAAATTTATCAAAAGCATGTAACCAATACTTTAGAGCAGACATGTCAGACACAAGGCCCAGGGGCAGGATGTAGCCCTCGAAGTGGTTTCATGTGGCCCGCGAAGCCATCCTGGAAACAGTGAGGGAACGACCCCCACTGCCTTGACTCTGGCCCAGGCCAGCTGGGAGCCAATGTACAATTTTGTGGTGGCCATCTTGGCACTTGCCCCGGTCCCACCCCCTTATTCCAGAGACCCTCAGATCTGCCCCACTCCTGCCCAGGCCCCCATAGGCACCCTTGACAGGAAAGATGTAGAACTGGCCACGCCCATCCAGTAGGCCACACCTATTCCATCCACACCCACCCACTAGGCTGCACCACTCTGGCCACACCCACCCAGCCTGCCCAGGGCAACTGCAATGCTGATGCGGCCCTCAGTGAAATTGAGTTTGACACTCCTGCTTTAGAGCTATCTCTAACTTTACAAAATCAAGTTGGCTTTCATCCATAGCAGTGGCATTAGAGAAGTCAGCCAAAGATATCCAAAATAATCAACCCAGAGTTAAAAATGAAAAAGAAAATTGTATTGAAGCCATTCTATCTCAAGGAGTAAAAAAAGAAGAAAAAGCTTACACAAACTCATTCATCAAAACCCGGGTGGCTCAGCAAAGTTACATTAAACTCAGGCTGTACTCAAAGCAGAAACTATTCCATTTACTGAGGACAGGCCATCGTTTGACAGATGCAGCCTTTTATTACAGAAACTCTTATTCGTCTTTGGAGAGGAGGCCTAAATCTTTGGGCTCTAAAGAGGGCTTCGAGGAATCCTGCATATCAGCCCGAAATTCTCGGTGTCTTAAGTTGCAGAGAAGCCTTTCTTTCACAAGCTCGAGTTCTGCTGTTGTACCCGTCTCCGTAATTTTTTACCGGAAGAAAAGCGGGGAGTTATCAGCCGTGTTCATTGAGGACTGAGCTGTACTACCGGTAAGAGAAAGGCAAGTATCCCTTAAGCGGCTGCCCTCCGATACACTTACTTCGTTCTTACCAGTTTAGCACCCCTCGTTACCTCCGGGCACCTACATTTATTGGGGAATTGAAAGGAGAAAAGAAAAAAAAAACCGCACGTGCCCACTCAGCCATCCCCGGCCCTGCCTCCGGCTGCCACCGCTGCCGCCATTTTGGGGGAGAAACCGGCAAGCTCGTTGGAAGAGGAGGAGCCGCCGGGAGGAAAGAGAAAGCTGGATTGTACTACCCTACCTAGATAAGAGGGGGAGCACCGTCTATATGTTATCGTAATACATACATATATCATCCATCTGAATTGGATTTATAATCCATCAAAAAAGAAATGGACTCCCAGGGAGGTGCATGATGTAAAATAGCGTTTCTATCCGCACTTCTGTTCCCGCTCGCCTTAATGGTTCCTCCCGGATACCTAGATTTCCGAAGCCTCCTCGGGAAACTGAGAGGTCGTTTTGGGCTTAGTTGACCCTGGATGAGGCCTAGGTGGTCAGGACCGGTAAGATTAGCGTTGTGGTGAAGGGAGAGGGAGAGTCAAAGAAGGATTTATGAGGGTGCATCTGATATGTTCAGGAGACTGGAGACGACATTGGCTTGCCAATAGTGGATGTGTCATGTATCAAGCCATATACCATGGAAGATCTGGAGCTTCTATCGCTGTAATTTTTCAACCACTAATTCAGACTGGATGCATGTGTAGCTTCCTATCATAGAGGATGGCCACCTATGCCCACATAAGGTGTATTCCTGTGTTAGTTGCTCAGGGCGTACAATCATATTCTGGGCAAATTAGGTTGGGGAAGGGGACTTCTTCCTAGTATAAGCTTCTTCCAAGGGAAGGAGCTAGACATCTTTTTTGTATCTGGAGCAGGCTGGGAATTAAATACCCATTTTACAATGCTATAGCTCTGTAATAGAAAAGGAATTCACATAATAAATCAGATATATTGGCCTGTTCTGGCCAGTGTCTTGCTTTCAAGCAAAGCATTGGGCTGCAGTCATCCTTTTTTTTTTTTTTTAACTTTCTAAGAATATAGGTGGAGCCTGTAGATTCTTAGAAATAAAGCTGATTGATTCAATTTATATAGCTGCCCATCTCACACTTCAACTTATAATTAAAACTTAAACAATACCAAAACACTGGATAAAACTGGTGGAAGTGGCATTTTGTTTTTACAGCTCCCAGATTTTTTAAAGTTTTTTTTTTTAATTGGATGAGGTAAGTTAAGAGAAATGTTTGCAGTTCTGATTGAAAGGCAGGTTGGTGATTCTTTTTAATGACACTTCAAAGTACTATTATTAGCTGTTTGGGGCTTTTCATTAACCTGTATTATACTATAGTAAATGACTCTAAATTTACAAAATGGCATATAGTAAATAATGTCAAAATACATACTGCATGTATGTATTTTGTAATCCGATTTGGGATTTATGGCATAAGATTTGCACATTTCAATTACATTAATTTTTCATCAACTGTAATTCCTTTGACTTGTTCTATTACAAGAAAGTCTCTATGGGGGCAAGCCTGGCTAATAATGGATACGTTTGATACAAACTTGGTTCCTTGTGTATTTGCATTATATGTGAGGGGCAAGCTTGCTTTGTGACATCCCCATGCATGTTTCATCATTTTACAAATGTCAGTGTTTATGGATACTTCTATACCACCTTCTATGTTCGAGGCAAAATTTAAGTTACAATAAAATATTTTCCACATAAAATGTTATGTAATGTTTCCTCCTTAATTCACATCAATCCAATAGGACTTGTTTCACAATAACAATGAACTTGCTGCCAAATAGGTTTCATGTTTTATTATAAGCAATGATGCTCATGCAAAAATATGCCATTACTTGTAATCCTTTCTTTGTCCTTTTTCCCCCCATAGTAACTACCATGAATGTTATCCACTTGGTGCGAGATCACTGGCCTCTTGCACTGTGTCCCCTAGGATTCTTGGTGGGATGGTACTTTGACAAGAAGAATGATGAGAAAATGGCAATATTCAGAAATAAGAGCAAACTATATCAAAGGTTAATTATTTTAATTGATTTCTTACAGTCTCTTTCTTTCTGGATTATAAAATTGCTTCTGAAAAGTATATTTGAGGAAAGTTATTGGTAAATATAGCTGTTGCTGCATTTTCATTTGTGTGTGTAAAAGATCACAATTATTAAATTCTTTAAAGAATTTATATTGTAATATGATATGTGTAATATTGGTTCAAATATGGTTTGAAGCTTTACATAGTACAGAATATGGTTACTATGTTCCTAGACATACTTGCTGATACTCATCCTTATTGATGAAAAAGTTCATAATAGAAACAGGTACATGCATAATATATAATTAAAAGAATATAAAATAATATTCAGTTAAAATATATGTAGAAAGATGATTGGTGGGAAAAACCTATTTCCAACCTTTACAAAGAAGTTTGTTATCAGTAGGCTGCAGTAGACACCCTCTGAATTTGGGAGAGTAGTAGTATTTCTGAGCATGGATATCATGATTATGGAAATGAATCTCTTCATGACGGCTTTATGAGCCTATAATAGTATTTATCTTCATCCTAAAAAGTTTAGAACCAAGTGCAAGATTCTGAAAATGTCATATTCCTATATAGTATTTTTTTCTTTTGTTATATTTTATTTTATGCTGCTTTAGCTCCCAAAAATGCCTCTTCTCATTTCCTTTGTTTTACTCATGGCTACACTGGGTTTAGAAAATGACAAATTTACCTCATTTTCTTTTTCTTCTATACTTGACTTTCCTTCCTTTCTTTTTCATTGTTACTAACTTTTGTTGAGTATGTATATTTCAATAAGTATTGTGAATCACTGTGTTTAGCAGAGTTAATTATTTCACCTCTTGATTATTGTACTAAAACTTATTAGGATGTTCCCTTTGCCATTGCTTCCATAACTTTCTTTGCTTGTATTATCCTATTGATTTTAAGTTTATCTGTAAAGAAAGATTTGCCTGTTATTTTTTTCCCAATTCTAGAATTTAAAATAAGATATTGCCTCTTGCAAATGTTGCAAATTTCGTTAAACAGTTTCAACTTTTGTGTCAGATTGTTTAGTGCTTTAACAGTTTTTCTCCCTCTTACCCTTCAATCCTTGCTTAGCCTTGGAATATATTTACAAAACAGTTAGTAAAAATAGGTGACTTAGCTTGCTTTCTCTGTTACACAATTGAGAGAATCATCTGCCCCAATTATATCAGGAGTAGCATCTTGGACAACATTGCAGTTAATCTTTTTGGTAGCTATCTGAATGCTATTCCTATTGTTTTATAATTTGGGGGGAAATATGAGCCAGCTGAAATCAAAGCACTTAGCTTTCTCCATCCATTTATATCCTCATTTTGTTCTACATACATGCAGCTGCGGATGGAGGGGCAAAATAGGTTTTGCAACTGGAAGATTCAAATAATCTTTTTTTTCCTGGATGTATACAATATGGGGAACTCAGGCTAGAAACTGGGAGACTTGGTTCTAGTTGTTTCTTAGGCATATTAAGTTATTTATAAAAAAACAATAAAAGTGGGATAAAAAAATAAATACCAAATGGGGGGAAAACTTCACAAATATTTGCAAGAACAAGCTAGTTCTCCATATAATTGTATATAGAGAATACCTATTCATTTAAGTCTATTTTTAAATGTATAATGTACTAATCTGGCATAATTTATTTTTAAACTTGTAATATTTTCTTTTTTTATATAGGGAATTGAAACCTGGTGAAGATGCTATATGGAAATAATGTGTCAAACTGCTTCTCCTACAGTTTGTTTGAATAAGTGATTGTTCCATAATGAAAATAGAATTTAGTCTTACCTTTGTTCAAAGTATGATTACTAAAAAACTATATAGCCCCAACTATATAATGTAATTCAAACATATAATTTGAAGTACGGGTGATAGCATTAAGCAGGTTGGTACAGAATGTTCCTGAGAAACTGTCTATCAGACCCTGAACAGTTAGCTTCAGAGGCTATAGTTACATCCTGTAAACCATAGAATTGTAGTTGGTAGGGATCGGAAATTATGTATGTTTTCTGCATAAATTCTTCTGGATTTCTTCCTTGACAATTGATAAGATCTTTTTGTGCATTTAAATAAAAGTACTTTGAGACAGATTTAAAACATGTATTGTTTTTACAAAATATTGATACCTTTACATTTTATAATATTTTGTAATATTTAGTTCTTTAAAATATTTGGTTTCTGTTACTTATATGCGGTATTAAATATGTGCTTTTAGAAAACCTTAGTATGTTAGACCAGGAGTACTCAACCTTGGCAACTTTAAAACTTGTGGACTTCAACTCCCTGGATTCCTCAGGCAGCAAAGCTGGTTGAGGAATCCTGGGAGTTGAAGTCCACAAGTCTTAAAAGTTACCAAGGTTGAGGACCCCTGTGCTAGACTATGATTTTTTTCAGTTTGGGCACATATCATAAATCCAGCCAATTGTAATTACTGAAAGAGCCCCAGCTAAACAGATCATAAGTTAAGTGTCTTTGGGATGTCAGACAAACTTGACATCTATTATTCCATTCAATGTCATTGTTGATTTGGCTGGGTAGGCAGATGTCCTTTTCTTCCAAAAGTAACCTGGTTCCCCCCCCCCCTTTAACCTGTTTTAAAGTCTTCCAAATGCACACTCATCACACTATAACTGAGCACAACCCCACAAAAGATTATTTTAATCTTTAAATCTAGGGCTACTACATCTTATCTGCCAAAGTTCTGGTGACCGTTAAACCAAAAGAGAATTACAAGAAACCACATTTGGCAGCCCAGATTTGGTAGCCTTGCACGTCTAAAGGAAAAACCGTTATTATAAAACCGCAATGATAGCAAACCATTGTGACCAATTGTTGATTGTTCCAACAATCAACCAATGGAACAGCTTGCTCTCGTAAGTTGTGGGCGCTTCATCACTGGAGGCTTCAAGAAGAGACTGGACAGCCATTTGTCAGAAATGGGATAGAGTCTCCTGCTTGAGCAGCGGATTGGACTAGATGACCTACAGGTGCCTTCCAGCTCTTATTGTGCTACTATTCCGACCAAAATACAGTACGCAAATAGAGTTGTGTTCTTTTCCTATTGTTGCCCGCTGGCGGTACGGTGCGAGGCCGCCCGAATGAACAAGGTCCCCTTCCGGCGCTGTCCGCTGTCCTCCCTCAAGAGGAGCCCTGAGGCGCCGGAGCACGACCTCAGAGCCGCTCAGAGCGTTACAATGGACTCCGAGGCGTTTGTTGCGCTCATCAAGGCAGGTCAGCGCAGAGGTGGCCTCGGCGATTGGCTGCAGCGGGTCACGGAGCAGAGCGAGGCTTGATTGGCTGGGTCGGACCATGTGGTATGGAAGCCGATGGTGGTGGAGACACATAAACATGGAGGCCATCTTTCACGAGAGGGTGAGTGAACCTTTTGCCTTCCCTTAAAGAAAGTGGGTGTGAGGTTAAAAAGAGGGCGAAGCGAGAGGAAAGAAAGGCGGCTCGCGTGGGAGATTACCCGACACCGAAACTTTGCTGTTTCGGTTGCTTGGGTAGTTCAAAGACTGGGATGTCTACGAAAATCTCCGCTTTTTACTATTTTACACTTTATATTCAAGCTGCAGAGGGGAAGAATAAGAATAAGGCCAATTTCTTGTGACTCTGAGGTACTTAAAAAGGCAAGGCGGGCGAAAGGTGTGGGTTTCCAATAGGTAGGGGAGGATTGTAGTTGTTAACGATAAAAGTCGGAGCTCCGAAACATTGTTTTCTTTCTGTCGCCTGTTTCGTAAGGCTAAGCGTTCGCGTTTGTTTAAGGCAATGCTTTCAGGGTACATCCAACTGGGTGATGTGCAAGGAAGCGTTTTCTCTCCCATGCTTATTAGTGAATTTTTTCGGAGCATCATCGCCCTAACCATGCTGGCAGGATCATTGAGCAGAAAACAAGGAAATGGGAGCTTAACATGGAGGACAAGAACATATGAATTGGTGTTACCAAACGCTAACATTGTTTATGAGATACTGCTTTATTCTATTTCACGGAATGTATACACTCCTTGTTTCATTTCAGCTATTCGTGTTTATACATGTAGTATGATACAGTGCGTGATTTTGTTTCCTATCTTGCTGATGGAGCTGGTTGTTTTGAAACTGTGTCTGCCCAATGCATCTCTGTCATTAATACCATCCCTTTTTTCTTAACTTCAACTTTATGTATAACCTGAATAATTGCTGCTGGAGGAAGAGAATAATTTGGGTTTCTTTTTAATCTTTGTTCTGTGTAGTATGAAATCTCTAGATACAATTTTTTGGGAAGATAAAATGTTACATTTCAGATTGATTCTGAAGGCAATGATATATTTTGGTCATTTTCCTATCAATAGCTTTTCTCTGAGGTTTTGAAAAAGGGCAGAAATTTAATAGCATTATTAAGTAATGGTGTCAAACTAGCTATTAAGGAAGAACATTTTTAAGCATAACACAAATTTGCTAATTGCTTTCCCCCTCCCAAGAGTTCCATGTCCCTATCATCCCAGAGGGTTGGGTGTCTCTGGTGTGAAGAAAAAAAGATTTATTACACTGGAATGTATAGAAATGCTTTTTTTAGGCATGTTTAGTTTAGAGATTAGAGGAAGAGCTGTATTAAGAGGCTAGTCTCATCTCTTCAAAGGGCTACCAAATGCCTTCAAGCAGAATGTGAGTGTAGTAGCACTTTGCCATCTATATTGTTTAGCAACTGATACTGAGAGGTATTTAATGCTGGAAAAGTTTGGTCATATTGATTTATATCAGTCAGGAAGACTAATTAAATCATAGTCAATAAGATTCTGTTGTTGATCATGATTTCTACTAAAGCTCTTCTGCTTTGTTACTACCTATACTTCAGTCCTTATGAATAGATGCAACTTTTATGTTTAGAAACAGGTATATGTTATATATTATAAATGCATATTTCTGATTTTCTTGATTAATTTTTCATTAAAATTGTTTTTAGCACTAAACCAGATATATATCAGACAGCTGACTGATGTGCATATTTTCTCTTGGTAATGGGTAATAAAAATAGGTTGTAGTCAGTACTATGTATGGCTTAATGTGTTAGGAACAATAAAAAACTATGTTGGAAAACTAAAGATGTGATTTAAGAAACATGATAAAGATTATGAATGTGTTTCTAAAATTGCATGCAAAACTAGTTGGACTTGTTTGGGTACATACTTATATAAATGTGTAGAAGTACATATGTATGCATGTGCATAATTTTAGCTAAGTACTTTAATGGAAACAATGAGCTTTATTTAAAACACTATGTACAGTGTATTCATTTAATAATTCAGATTGATATAAATGCATTAAAATATAGTGCAAAATATGTTAAAAACATAAAAATTCTTGAAATCATGAAGGACTCTATCGCAATGTATCTGTTTCACTATCTGGCTAAAAACAGAATCAGAGTAACTTCAATGATATATTTGCTCTATTTTTTGAACAATAAACATGAAAACACTATTTTTTTTCTTTTTTTAATTTTTCATAATTTAGCAAGAAGGTTCTCTGTGTGCCCAGCACTGTTTGAATAACTTACTGCAAGGAGAGTATTTCAGTCCTGTGGAATTGTCTTCTATTGCACAGCAGTTAGATGAAGAAGAGAGAATAAGAATGGCAGAGGGTGGAGTTTCTAGCGAAGAATATAGAATATTTTTACAGGTAACAGCTCTTCAGGTGGTTTTACATTTGTCAGCTTTTGTCCTATATATTTTCTTACTGAAAGAGCTTATATTGAAGCTGAATTTCATAATGATGAAATGTAAAGTTATCTCTTCTCCTTCCTAGAATAGCATCCTCAAGATATATTAGAATTACTGTCAGTTTCTCAGTGAAGTTCCTGTTTAATATTTTTAAAGACTTTTTTCAGGTACAGAATTTATTTTGTCCCAAACTGATTTTAAATTGATGTCCACAAATGTCCACAAATGAGTATACAAAGAGCAAAATGAGAAAGGCTACTATATTGACCACTAGGTTCTTGTATTTGCCTGGTGTTGTCTGTCTGCATAGTTTATCTGTTGTTTCTCATTGACATAACCTGTAAATAAATCCCAGAATGTCACACTTGTTCAGAATGGTTCATTAAAAGTATTTTTAGAGAGAGTATAGATTTACTAAGAGTAACTGAATTTATTCTCTACATATGATTTTCCAAAAGCTTCTATAGCACATAAATTAATCTTCTTTCCTTTGCATTCTTTGTTGAACAGCAGCCTTCAGTAAACATGGATGATAGTGGTTTCTTCTCAATTCAAGTAAGCAGTTTCTCTATAATTTTTGAAAACTTCATTAAACATTTGAAAATGCTTATTGAAATACCCTGGGCTCCTATTTTAGAGCTGTTTAGGAAACAGCTGTCCTCTGTGAATACATTTCTTAAAGTAAATGTTCACCTCCCAAAATGTACGAGAAGCAAATTCATGGTTACAGAGAGTTCTTTATATTTCGAATCTACATTATGATTGCAATTCTGTAAATAGCTTTTAAATTCCACTGATTTTCAGTAGAATGTTAGCATTCTAATAATTTATATCATTTTTCTACATGTTAGGATGGGACTGATTTCTCAAGGGCAAAGTGATAATACATTATTTATATTTTTTGTCCTGTCCCAGTTAAGCTGTCCTTTGGGATTTGAAAAAAGTTTGCATTAAGTTTTTTCTGGACAAACAGATAAGCTTATTTCTTTATAATCATGTACTTAATAATAATAATAAAATCTTTGTATTGTACATTGAATATAGTGGAACTGTGTAAGGTATATGTTTAAAGTATATTTCCAAATAGATCCTTACAAAGTGAAAACTTTGCATACATAAACATATGTAATGACTTTAGGAGGTGGATAGAAAAGATGTAGCCTAGGGAACGATCAAACAAGAGAAGACATAGCTTGCGACTGCATAAGGGACAGAGAAAGAGACTCCGAAAGGAACCTCCCCAGCTTCTCAAGCTGTAAAAGAGACAGCGGGAGAGTGATTGACATAGAATTTTTTATCCTGCCTTTATGACCTTTATAAAAAAAATTCAAGCCAACAAACATACTTAATACTCCTTCGTTCTCCTAGTTTCCTCATAACAATAACCTTATGAAGTGAATTGAGCTGAGAGAGAATAATTGGCCCAAAGTTGCCCAGCCGGCTTTCAAGCCTATGGTGGGATCAGAACTTAGTCTTCTGGTTTCTAACATGGTGTCTTAATCACTACACCAAACTGGCTGCCTAGATAAAACTGGCTCCCTTTGTGTGCACATATGTATTAACACACCAGGGTGGATAATAATGATTTTTTTAAGAAAATCAAAAAAATCAGATTTTTTTTATTTAAATCAGATTTTTTTCTATTTTTATCAAATTAATTTTAATAAAATGCTTTTGGAGTAAATATCTAAATATAGTTTTCTATTTAAGATACATTAATAATTTAGTTTATTCAGCATGAAGTGGAGCTTAGTTATGTAGCATGAGGCTGTATATTCTGCAATATCTACATTTTTGGTAAACTCATTCAGTGAATCCAAGCTCTACAATGAGATAACATGCACTGCATTGATGCATTCACACAATTTCACAGTAACCATGAGATAAATATTTCTTTATCCCATTGTTTTGCAAATCTGTGTACACTACAAACTGTATGATTGTTTGAAAAGAAATGTATCTGTACCAGGCTCTAAGTGTTTTAATTAAATAAAAGAATTTGAGTAGTTCTGCAACTATATGTTATTAACCTAAAATCAGTTCTGATGTTGCTGGTTTACTAACCTGACAGCTTATTCTAAATAGGAAACCTTCATTTTGTTTCCAAATAATAATATTAAACATTCTAACTACCAGCAAGAATGAGTCCTTACATTTAAAGAGTACCTGTCATTTCAGATTCATCTTGGCAGCGCCTGTTGGCGGGCATCCCCTCACCTGCTGCCCGCACGTCCCTCATCTTGTGTCATTAAAGTGAGTGGGACTGTCTGTGAGTCAACAGCAGGTCAGAGGAGGAGCCGCTACAGGACAGAGATGACAGTTGCTCTTTAAAAATTATGATTTAAATCTAGCTGATTTAAATCAAATCCACCCTGTAACACACACACACACATGGTTTCTACTCAAAATTAATGTCAACATTTCCAGGTAAATGAGATGGGGAAATATGACCAGATGAGCTAATTCTACTTAATTGTAAGGTTACATTAACAGAATCTTGTAAGTCTCATAGTACAAACTTTCCACTTTCTCTCTGGCAGCATCTTTCCCTCTCCCATAACCCAAGCTTATCCCCACATACTGTTGCAACATGCCAGTGTAATTAATTAGTTTGTCTTCAACGTACAGTCACACTTGGGACAATTGCTAAGCAAGGCCATTGTTAAGTGAGTCATGCCTGATTTTACCTTGTTAAAGAAATCACTGCAGTTGTTAAGTGACTCATGTAGTAATTAAGCAAATTTGTCTTTCCCCATTGAGTTTGCTTGTCAGAAGCTGACTGAGAAGGTCACAAATGATGATCACATGATCTCAAGGCACTATGACCATCCTAAATATATGTCAGTTGCCAAGTGCCCAAATTTTAATCATGTGACAGTTGTAAGTGTGAGGACTAGTTATAAGACACATTTTTCACTACCATTATAATTTTGAATGGTCACTAAACAAATAATTATAACTTGAGGACTATATTTATCTTGTCCTTATAGCAAGCTGCTTTGGGATAGATTGTTGTATGTAATAACTAGACTAAGTAAATAATAAGTAAACAAGGAACAATAGCTTCAGAACCATGTAAGTTAATGTATATGCCCTGCAAAGTACAGTAGTTTGTAAGCAACAAAGTAAACTCTATCCAAAGTTGACTATATTTGTATCAGTTTAAAATCACTGTAGCTGGCAGATTTAATCTGAAAATTATCATGTTATATAGATTGCTTTTGTTTTCTCCTCTTCTACAGAAGGTGGACTGAAGCAGGGTGAATTTCTCTTTTTAATTTCCCAACAGTTGGAAAACAAGTTTTATACTAATAATGTATTTCAAACAAGAAATTTAAGAACAAATAAGTTACTTTGGCCCAAAATATGCAGAATGTATTGAGTTTTTGTAGGACTCAGTGATATTCAGATATATACCTCTCATGCAAATAGTCACTCAATGTGTCTATGGAGATTCTCAGTCATCCAAGTCATCGTTGTGCTTTTTCAAAAGGCAACTGAAATGTTTCAATTCTCATCCAAGAAAGCTTTTTCAGTTCTGACTGAATGGTGGAGAATAGTTTATATTCCTTGCAGTCATCTGGTCATTACCACTTTCTCTTGAAGTTGTTGAAGCTACTTGGAGATTTATCTGTGTCCTCAGGGTCACCTTAATAGTGCAAATGGATGTGGAACTTTCTTGGAATTGCTGAAAGAACTGTTTTGTAAACAGAAGATTGGTAGTGTCATACAGAAATATTTATAGGAATATAAATCCTTCCATTCTCCACCATTCAGTCAGAACTGAAGAACCTTCTTGGATGAGAAGTGAAATGTCTTCAAGGAAGAACAAAGAAAGTCCAGTTGCCTTTTGAAAAAACACCTTTGGGATAGTCATTCAACTTTTAATTATTTTACTAGCGTTTTAAAATGGTTGTTAACATCTTGTCCTTGAAAAAAACAAATGTCTTTTGCAGTATAAAGTAAAACTACAGTTTATAGATCTCATCACAGTAGATTCATTCACAAAAAACTAGATTTCTGCAGAGATTTATAGCATTTGTATCATATAATTTGGCTAATGATATAAATCATGTAATCACACAAATGACACACATCAGTATATTAATGTATTATGTGTTTAACAGATATTCATGAATTAGGGACCCTTCCTCCCTAAAATAGTCAGCTGAAATAGGATTTCACTATATAAAGGATTAGACCAGAAATGTCAAACTCGCGACATCGCGTGACATATTGGAGCTTTTTCTCCATTGCCGGCAATGGGGTGGGTGCGGTTTTGTTGTGATGCGTCCGGCCCATGGGCCAGCAGTTTGACACTTCTGGATTAGATCAATAGGTTTTAAATATCTTACCAGCCACACATAATGAGCTTTAGAGAATCAGAATAAAACTGATGCTTCCAAAGCAAATTGATTGTATATACCAGTAGCTGCTGATAATAACTCAGGTGTATATGTGACTTTTTGGGGGGGAATCAAATTATGATATATTTTTTTTTGCTTCCTAGCATTTTTCCCACAAGTGCAACTGGTTTTCTGAAAGACCAAATTAGTTTTCAAATTGTATATTTGTCATCCTCCCTTAAATGTGTTTTATATGTGGTTTGCTCAGTGTAGATTCATGAAGATTAATTGTCTTTATAGTTCTAAAATGGTTGAATTGCTTACATTTTATAACTGACTCTTATGAAAAGTGCTGTTTTTTGACAGGTTATAAGTAATGCCTTGAAAGTTTGGGGTTTAGAACTAATCCTCTTCAACAGCCCAGAGTATCAGCGGCTCGGGATCAATCCTATGTAAGACTTTATTTTTTAGCCCCCTGCTTCCATTTAAAACATCATAACAGTTATGCAAGGGGAAAAAAAACCCTCATTCTTTCCTTCAGAATTCCTTTTGAAATTACTATTTCAAGTTCTGGTTTTATCTGCTCAGCATTTTCTGTTTCATATTATTGAGGCTTATGTGTTGATTTATCCTCTGAGCCTTATCTGTAGCATTATAGAATGCTGACTTTGAACGATATGTGGCATCATATCTGCTTAATGACATCACTAGTATGTATATTAAGCATTTACAGTGATAAATATATTTCTAAAACAATGTTATTAAATATTCAATTATCTATGGATGAAAAGTTCACATAATTTGAATCATAGATTCAGTTACTACTGTACAGTATTTTTTAAATACAAAAATAGTAACGCTGATTAATATTTCTGTGCTCAGATATTTAATTCTGTGAATGCTTTGTGTTTTATTTTCAGAAATGAAAGATCTTTTATTTGTAACTATAAAGAGCACTGGTTTACAGTTCGAAAATTAGGGAAACAGGTACGGTGTTTTTTTATTTTCCTTCTTTAAAATTGATGTCAGGCTTGCCATTGTAATCACCTATAAATTCAGTCAAAATTGAGTGCATGTCTAGTGACAAACACCGCGTTAATAGATAGATAGATAGATAGATAGATAGATAGATAGATAGATAGATAGATAGATTCATTCATTCATTCATTCATTCATTCGATTGATGCAATTGAATTTCCCAGAGCTGCTTTGTTCCTACTGTTCAGTATTCTCATTCTGAAGCTGGAACTGATTCAGAATGCTGTAGGTGATTTTTTTTTATGTTAATGTGTATTACACAACATGCAACCCTTCGGATCCTCCTTTATCAATATTTACTTACCTAAATATAGAATAACCATAAGTGGGCAGAACAGCAGTGGGAATGAGTGACTTCCAACCTTCTAGCTTCCTGACTGACTTTGTGGGAAGCTGGCAGGGAGCATTAGAAATCACAATCACATGACTTCAGCTGACTGTGGTGGTGCTATAACAGTCATATTGTAAGATATTTGAAATTTCAGTTCCATGGGAATAATGGGTCCTGGATTTGGAATGCATTTTTAACTGAAAGACGTATTTCTGGCACCTTGATTCAAAAAATGTTGCCCTATGATGCATCATTTTGCTAATTGATTGTTAAAACAGACAAACACAGGAAACATTTAGTAATATGTAGACTAGATAGCACCTGCCTCCATGATGTTTCTGATTCATCAGTTTTTCTCATTTAAAACCAGGCATTTGCCTTGCAATAGATATTTCCACAGCAGAATTTGCAATGTGTTAAAAGTTTCCTGCTATGTATTCGTGGCACTCCTTTGATTACAGCTTTGTTTTTGTTTTTTCCTATAACTAAATGCTAATGCATCCATTAACTTACATATATATCTGAGATGGCTATAGGAGACTATTTGCAAGCAATCAAATTTGTACAAACAATATTATTCCGTGGTGTAATAAGTAATACAAAATACTTCTTTTATTTTATCTTTGATTGCATATACAGTATATTTACTGAATTGTTTTAATAATAGGTATATGTTTTGCTATGTATTAAATATATATTGTTAATCATACTGCATGTTAATTTTCTTTCTTTGAACAGTGGTTCAATTTGAACTCTCTCTTGACCGGTCCAGAACTAATATCTGATACTTATCTTGCACTTTTTCTGGCCCAGCTTCAACAAGAAGGTAATGCTAATTTTCTGATGCTGTAATATTGCTGTAATATTCATCTAAGAAAACTCTTCCTGTGTTGCTTGACCGAGTTTTATAGAATGCATAACCAAATTGCCCAATACTGATAAAGAACATTTTTCTATTCATTAGTGCCTTGCCCACTAACCCCTGTATTTTATATTAATTTTTAGATTATCTTCCTAATCTGTTCATATCCTTTTATCTCTCATAGGTTATTCAATATTTGTTGTAAAAGGTGACTTACCTGATTGTGAAGCTGATCAATTACTGCAAATGATTCGGGTGCAGCAAATGCAAAGGCCAAAATTAATTGGGGAAGAGACGCTGCAATCAAGAGATGAGAGGTATGGTAAATAAATGCTTGTATTTTAATGGATTCAGTGTAAGTATTTTTGAAGCCTGATTATGAAGGGTGCTATTATGTTTACATATGGAATAAACCAAAATTTGTGTTAATTAATTATAATAAATATATTATCTATGTCTAAAGGAGATATACCAAATACAAAATAAATTTTGCATAATTTCTGTATATTTTTTTAAGAATTGGGATTTTTTTTAAAGTAAGTCTTAAAACAAAGGCTTGGATTACCTTCATAGCTATCCATGCAAATGCAACTATTGGAAGAATCTTAAATAAAGATGATGTCATTGGTGCTATATATAAATTCACTGACCTCATTAATAGACTGCATGGGTGCCACAAGATCCAAAGACACTCTGAACAAAGGGAGCTATCCAGTGATTTATGTTCTTTGTGATTGTGGTGACATGCAGACAACAGTATGTACAGTATGTATACCTGCCCTTTAGGTCCCAGCAATATACACTTGAGGACCTCATGGGAGCGTGACAGAACACAGTGTTGCTAGTTTCTGGGCAACATCTGATTAATTTGGAGATATTTTAATCTTATATTTAATATTTTAAATTTTATGTCATATGGTATGCCTTATTTTAATTGTGATGCTTCTGACATGAACAAATATAAACTGACTTCATTCTGATATCCATCTTTTTTCTGCTCACTGTATCTTTTAAAAATTAAATCCTTCTCTCTACCACTTATCTAGACATAGCACAACATTTGGCTTTAGAATAAAAAAAAATTTTTTTTTTGTTTAACTTTCCCAGTGTGCAAAAACCAGACTTAGAACAAGCACTAGATGTTAGCCAGTCCTTTGATAATACCAATATGTTAGATGAAGATGAAGAAAATTTCCAAAAAGCACTTGCACTCAGCAGACAGGAAATTGATATGGAAGATGAAGAAGCAGATCTCCGGAGGGCTATTCAACTTAGTATGCAAGGTAAAAGATTATATTTTGATTTTAAATGAATTGATATTTTGTATGTTTTAATTTTATTCAAACATAAGACAACAAAGCAATAAAGCGACATTGAAACTTTTTACATGTGTGCCTTTGAGTCAGTGTTGACTCCTGGTGACTGCCAGGACTAGTACCAGCAGTTTTCTCTGCAAGAGATTTGACATGGTTTGCCACAACTTTCTTCCTAGAACTGAGAGACAGTGACAGGTCAGCCATGGTCATCTTTTCTGCTCACAGAAGCATTATATGCCTTTAAAATGTCTTTATAGATAAGATTTGCACACTTATAAAGGAGTTAGAATTTATTTAGATGTAGTACAATCTCTTACGTCAAAAACATTTATTCCAAATCATTTTCAAACACTGCACAACCTTAGTAAATATAACAGTGTTTTATCTAGTGATGTTTATCGAATGATTTGTATTTACTTAGAGTTTTTTTTTTTTTTTTAGAAAAATTTATTTTCTGGAGCAGAGTGAGATTCTTTCTGAAGTGACCAAATGCAAGGATTTATTCCCAAGTTTGAATGGTTTAAACTAAGTTTGGTGAAGAAAGCAAGTAGAGTATTTGCAAGAAATTGGGTTTTTTTACATTCATATATGTGGAAAAGTATGAGGAAAGTTGAGTGATAAGGAACAATTTACCAGAGCTCTGCCGTTGAACTGCTTTGGTGGCAGAAGTGTGTTTGAGTGTCAAAATTAGCTTCTTGCTTTTTCCATCCCATAAGAGCAAAAACAAAAAGAGTAATCTTGCTTTTTCTCTTAATTCAGTAACCAAATTCTGAAGTCTAAGGTAGGAATAATAATTTTAAAACATTAATATTATAAGCATTTCAGCATTTCAAGACTGTTTTAGGCAGTTATTAAAAGATTTAACGATCTCTGCGTATCTCATGGGAGGCTAAAATTCCTGGCCCTTCCTAAGGGTGCACTAATTTAGGAGCTAAGCATAGTTGTACCTGTCTTTTAGAATTACAGTGCCACTTGAACTCACCCATTAAAATAGTATCGTCCAAGAGAATTGATGTAGTATAGTGGCTAAAGTGTTGATATACAAATGGGGAGAGCTAGTTTCTAATACAGTTTCAGTTATGGAAGCACACTGGGTACATTTGGAGCAGAGCACACTTAGCACAGCCAACTTCTCAGGATTGTTACTGCTCAGATAGCAGGCCTTATACTATGCTTAGATATAATTGCATATCAAATAAAAATACTAAATGCTAAGATAGAGGTGCTAATATTTTACATATTTTTTAGTTTTAATTGCCTAGAATTACCAAAATTGCTGGCCTAGTTTTAGACTTGCCTTCTTATAAATTCCAATTATAAGGTGTTTACAGTGAAATATAATCATTATACAAGTAGTTCTCCTTTAGCAACTACCTTGTTTAGCAGCTATTAAACTGCCTTGTTTAGCAACTTTTCAGTTACAGTGGTGATGGTTATGACCATTAGCTACATATACGATCTTCACAAGCCTGCAAAACTAAAGTAAGTTCATAACCATAGTCACAATTTCACTTAGCAACAACTGCTTAACAACTAAGTTGCTGGTCCTTATTGTGATCACTAAATGAAGGCTACTGTAATGTAGTTTGTAATCCTAACAATCTCAGTGCACTGCATTACTCTAGGTGTCAATTCCCAACAAAGGTGTTTCTCAGTCTCACTTTCCACCAGCTTTCCAAGTCAGGACTCTACCTGTTTCATTTACCTGGATAGTTTTTGTTCTGTCAACTTGAAATATTTTTCTGCTCCAGGATACAGAACCTAACCTGGAGAAAAATACACAATATATATTTGGGTGGCATTGTCCTGCCTGCCTGGGTCCACTGCATATTGAACTGGCCTGGCTGAAATGGAACTAGCACCTAGATACACTTAGAAAGTAGAATATATATGAACAGACTTGTAAGAGTTCGCTTTATTGCTCATCCAAAGGAAACTGGTCTTATCTTCTGAATTAGAAAATGTTTTTGTGCAAATACAAGTCTGCTATTGATTTTAATTTTGAGCAGTCCTCCCCTATTTTATATTAATCATAGTCATATAAAATATATTGATAATCTCCAGATTTAAAATATGTATTGATATTTATTATTCATGCTGTTATAATGTCCAGATCCAACTGCTATTTACAATGTAATACATAGGACTTCCTTTAGGACTATATGAAACATTCAGCTGGTAGCCCAACTACTAAATAGGATTATACCAGTATTATTTTTTAAATTTATTTTTATAAATAAGTGAGTTAAACTGAGAGAAAGTGACGGCCTTAAATCATATAGCTGGTTTTCGTTACTAAGGCAGACTAGACCTCTCAGTCTCCTGGTTTTGAAATGCAGCGATATTAAAATAACTGATTATTAGTATATGCATAAGATTACAGGTGAAAATGTTCATTTTGAGCTTCCATTTATTCAGTAGATGAAAACTAGAATCTTGTTCTGGTTTGTGGAATGTCCTTCCTGAACATGTCTAACTGACACCAGCCTTTTTATTGCCAGCTATGGAGGAAACAAATCTGGGGATAATTGTGTTTTGTTTTGTTTTGTTCTAGGCTTTACAGTATGACTGATGGCACTTGCTTTGTTGCTTTTTTAGAATTTTATATTGTTCCTTGTTATTACTGTTTAATTCTTCTATTATATGATTATTATACAAATTTGCATTGTACATTGCTTTTGCTATTTTATGAGAAACATAGTAAATATCCCAGTTAACTTAACCTTCCCAATAAGTGGGTGTGTGTGACTTTTAGGAGAACATCGAAGTGGCTTCTCAGATTGTTGCACACAGAACATTCCACATTCATCTGCAACAGGCCAAACTGAATCTCTCCCATCAGAAGAATTGCGGCGTCGAAGACAGGCCTATTTTGAAAAGTAATGTAAACTGTGTAAAGCATAATTTGTGGGTAGCAAGCTCCAGAAGCCTTTGTTAAGTGATATTACTTTATTTCTTGCTGTTTTTCAAGTATTCTGGATTATAGTTCCTATCTTTTCAAAAACTAACTATGCTGGTTAGAGTTGTAGTCCAAAGTACTGAGTTCTAAGAGGGTTTTTTTCTGAATTAACTCATACCAGTGTTTAACTGGTTCTTAAACTCCTGAACAACTCACTCAGTTTTGCAAATATCTTGATTCTTTTGGCTTGATATTATAGTACAAGACTGAGGCACCATGCTGGCTGCAGATAGCAGGATTCCGTACTTGGGCAAATCACGCTACCTACGTAACTAATTCATTGGTCAGTTATATAGATGATTGTTCCGGTTTGAAATGCAAATGAATGTATGATGCTTTATCACGATCACTTAAGTATTTTGATTTAGGATAATATAAGTTATAAAGTAGTAGCAAATAGATAATTTACATCTATTGACATATTTATGTGTTCATTAATTCTTGGCAAACTTGGTGCCTTCTTGTTCAAGAGTGGCAACAGTGTTACTATTTTTAATTAAAAATGCTATACTGCCTGCCCCTTGATATCATTCTCTTTAGTGCCTCATTTTAGTACGACTTAATTTCATAAGCATATTACTGTGTCTGATTTCTCTTTTGGCTTGTTCTAGACTATAAATTAATTTGGATATGGTACCAAAACACCTCTTCTTATTATGTAATGATAAAATATGTTCGTTAGCAATTGGTACTCCTATAATCTTTTATTTTATGCTTATAAATATGTACATGTATAATTATCATCTGTGATTATCATTTTTATTTTGAAGAATGTTTTTATGTTGCATCATTACAAAAAGTAATAACTGAAAGTGCATCAAAAGGGAGACTTAATTTCCTCTAATAATCATCACTATAATTATTGTCCAGAAGTACATTCTAGTAACGTGCCAAACTCCATATTCTGATCAGAGAACGTTCAGGTTCCTGCTCCTGGGAACATTTTTTTGTTTCTTTTTTTCCTCCGAGAATACACTTGTTTAAGCCTTTTCATGGATAGTTTGTCATCTCCGGGCTTTGGAATTAGATGTGATTCCCAGTAGTCTGGTCCCAAAGTATTTTTTTTTATTGTGTATTCTGTGTTAGGAGAAAAATGGAAACTAGGAGAAAAGACCAAAATCTGGAGTTTTGTCAACACTTGTTAGTAGGCTTATTGGCTAATTCTCTGGGATCAATGTATCTTACATATTACACCTTTCTGATTAAATTTTTTAGAATTACATATTTTAAACACGCATACATACACGTACGTGTGTGTGTGTGTTAATGTGTGTATTGCAAACACTGAAATGTATTGGTCCAGCTTCCTATACTCTGAACTTTTCAAATATTACTTCATTATTTAATAGGAAAAATTAAACTGGATGAAGAAAGGCAAGGAATCATAAAGTTATAGGCCTTCCTATGTATAATAAAAATTAATGTTGCATATTTCTCTCTCTGATTATTTTAGACATCAGCAGCTGCAAAAGCAAGGTCAGATTCCACAATTCCATGATGAAGCAGCTACTAATTCGCACACACTAGTTAATGACACAGGTATTGCTGTCATCATTTCCAGCCAGTGTTACCATTGGAAATTGTATCTAGAAATAATAGAATTGCATCCAATACATTTATAAACCATCAAATTGGCGTAATGCTTATATATACACTTCAGTGTATGGTAATCAGTTAAATTCAGTATCAGCCCATGTGATGACTTAAACATTATAGGTAGTCCTTGATGTACAACCATTCATTCAATGAATGTTAGAGTTATGGTGACTTATGACTGTCCTCTTACTCATGGCTGTCACAATGTCCCTATGATCACATGATCAAAATTCAGGCTTGGCAACCAGCATATATTTATAAGGATTGCAGCATCCAGGTTCACGATTGCCATCTGTGACCTTTCAAGCTGGCTTCTGACAAAGTCAATGGGGACTCCAGATTCACTTAACGACCTCAGTGATTCATTTAACAACCCTGACAAAGTCAATGGGAAAGCCAAGTTCACATAATGACTAGTGATTCACTTAACAATCACAGGCAGAGGTAAAGTGCTGCCTATATTCCACATTTGGTAGCAGGAAGTAAGAAATGGTTAATAGGTCTTTTGGGAATTCCTGGATAGGCCAGTCTGACAGCAAGAAGTTCCCCACTCCTGTCTTGAACTAGTAAGCTATGAGCATGGGAACTAGAGCTTTTCTCTGTCTTTTTAAATTATTGATGTTCTAGAAACTAATATATTTTATTTTCTTGTTTCTTCTCAGGAGGTGATATGAGTGAAAATGATATGCTTCAAGCTGCTATGAATATGTCCTTGGAAACTGTTACAAACAGCTTGAACACAGAAGAAAAGAAATGACAAATATTTATTCTAATCTGAATGCTACATTCTGTATTAATTCTGTGTGGGTGGCATACAGGTAGGGTTCATTTCATTGATGTACCAAAGCAAGGTAACAGTTGTGAGATTTCAGACTGAGGATCAGAATTAAAAACAATTTGGTTACTATACAATATAATCTCATTAATTTATGGTTATACTGTTGACCTTCTAGGTAATTTCTATTCAGTCAGAAGAACAATGAGAAAATGAGTATTGATATTCAATAAAATCTCATCCAATATTTTTCTGTTCCATAGATGTTCAGGTTAAGTTTGTGGTATCTGCAGATCTTTGTATAGGGAGCAGCTCTCTCAATTGTGATGGCTTGTTCTTGCAAGTTGTGATCTTAACAGGAAGATCAAGCACTTATCTCATTATAGAGCAAGGCCTTGCAACTTTCCTAAATAAGATTATGTGAAATCTAAAAATTTGTAGTTTCACATATATGTTCAAAGGCATTCTAAGTATCATGTTTACGACGCACTTCCAAAATTCCAGATTAACAGAGATGTTTGAATTACGTGCATGAATTACTATACATCAGCTTAATTCCAAAATTTAATTATTTAACTACATTTTGACTAAGAATAGCAAGAGATTTGCAGACCATCAATCCTATTTTGGAAGACTTTGCTAGAATATTACAATTATCATAAAATGGAACATCCTGCTTTTATTCTCCTGCTCCTCCAGATCTGCCTCCAAGCATTCCAATCTTCCAAAGCTGATTTGAAAGGCACCCTGGAGGAACCTATTCCAATAGCAGACTCAAGACTTATTTCTTCCTTGTTTTGCTCTAGTATTTTTTTACTAAATGTTGGGCCAATACTGGCTATGATGCACTGATCCAACACCTAGAATCTGATTAACTGAAGTCAAAAGTGTTGGATATAGTTGATAAATGTTTTTGTAATTCTTATTTCAATTGGTATTAATATTTTATCTTTTGTTAGATATTTCTATAAGTATTAATACTATCAAGCTGGACATAAGTTATTTTTTACTGAATCAGCTTATTGGTCCATTTAGGTTAAAATTATTCTGGCAGTGATTCTCCAGTCTTAAGCAAGAATCTTCTACCTGAATTGCTTTTGATGGAGGATAAAAATTAGAATTAGAATTAAACTGGAACTTCCTACATGTGTATCACGTGCTCTGCCACTGAGCCTATAGCCTTTCCAAAATTCCATATTAATTTTGAAATGAGGAAGTTAAAAAGATTTTGATGCCATGATTTCAGTGCCACATTATTAATATGCATAACTACCATCTGAAATGAACCCTGCATGGTTATTTATGTGTTAAAAATGGATATACATAAATGAATGTGTATGACTATGTACTTTATCAGATGTTAATGAATGTCTTCTTGTAATAGATTTGCGGCTTTTCATGAATGGTCTTCATTCATGCATCTTACTGTTTATTCTGTTTCTGTTACAAAGGGAAACTGGAAAGCAAATTCTGTAAGCTTGTTTTATTCCGATAGTCAAATAATACATAACAAATATTACAGGATGACTGAATTTGGCATTTTGTATTAAAAATATTTTTCTTTTTTGCAAAAGGTGTTTTAAGCATACATTCTGTTTACATATACATATTAAAGCTATAGTTTTGGATACAAACAATATACTCATTAAACCTATGGATATTTGCCAGATACACAAAAAATATTGTGAAATTGATTAGGTTTTGCAAATTATTTTAAAATTATATTGCACCATATTGATGTGTCATTCTTTGCTACTGAATGATTAGTAAATGTACACAGATTATGGTACTATAAAAATACAATATTAAAATTGATTTTGATATTTGTTTACAAAAAATTATTTAAGTGGCAAGTTAAATATGAAAGTCAAATGCCTCTTATTTTCATGTTTCATATGCTGTTGATTTCTGTGAAACTATTACAAAAGTACAAGCACTGCGATTTGGTCCAGGGATAAATACTATAAGAGTGTATCTAGTTTTGCCAGTCAGTAAACTGAAGGTAGCTATTTTAGATCTGCCTAATTTATTTATTAATAAAAAATTAACTTACCATATTTACTACATGTTGTTTTGAAAAAAAAAACAACAGCATTAGTTACATAAAGCTATATGCATTTATTTTAATTGTATTTAAGCTACTACTTGAAAAGAAATATATGAAAAAGATGTATAGACGCCATGAAATGAAATCATACTAGTCTGTAAAGATCATAGTTTTATTTTTTCTTACTTTTCCAATAAATTGTGTCCCTGTGGACAAGTTGAATCTGGATGAATTTAGATCCACTTCTTTCAAATGTATCTCTTCATTAAAGCAAGGTATTTTTTCAACACATATACAGTATATATCATATCAATTGTAAAGCAAAGATTTTAAAAATATTTTTTTCAATTTAGCATGCGCACCTAAAGGTGGAACCCTTCTTTAAGATTCAACTTGTGGTAAAACATTTTGTGGTTTACATAAAGTTAATGCAGTAGATTTTGAGAGATAATTTTTAGTAATTTGGAAATTTCTCTATTTGGGGATTATATTAATGGACAGCCTTGAAAATTGTCCATTTGTAATGGTGAACATTCCTAAAACTGAAAAGTATGGAATCCACTTTTGGTGGAAGACCTGAAATGTAACGATGCTAAGAAAAAGACTCAGGCATGTCTTGAGTAGAGGTTTGAAGCTGTATGACACAGCTTCACACAGCTTCTTAAACTCTGAGTTTATTGTTTCTTATATACTTTTTACATACATAGGCTTTACCATTAACTGCTGACATTTTACATTTAGAAGTTTAACCTTTAGTTGTTGACATAAAGTAATTGAAAAATTCCTTCATATAAGCAATTATTTTCTAGTAACACATTACCTGTTGAGAGCAGGTAAAACAAATACAGGTAAATTAGAAAAGGAGAAAGAACTGATAAAGACAAGAAGAGATAAAGACAGGAAGAGATAAGGGGGAACTTAAAGCATATTATTTATTTAGGTAGGTAAGATATTAAGTCAAAAGGGGGTGATCTTTTGGCTGCTTCCTTGGGACAAAGGGTATCAAAAGGTTATGAGGTTTGTGGGGGGCAATGCATGGCAGTTTGCTGCACGTGCAAATTCCTCCACAACTCACTTTCCTTTATTAATGAAAACATTCCAAGCAGGAGTAATTAGCGAGTCTTAGCTTAGTATGGAAGATTGCAAGACATTAAGTAAAGAAAAAAAGACATTGAAATAACAACAGCTGATAAGGATAGCAACTATTATAATGAGATATTGAACAATCTTTCCAAGAAGGCCAATGGGAAGCCATGACCATAGAGCACTCCACCAATTTCCTAAGGTATCAATTTTTAAATCCGAAGCCAAATTATGTAAAACATTAATTTGCTTTTGAATAACGCCAGATTGATCAGAAAGATTGAAACAACACATTCCTTCGAGTACTTCACATCCCAGATGTTGCCAGAGCAACAGATAATCAATTGCAGCACGATTTTGTAAAACAGCTTTACAAAGTTCTATTAGCTCTTGATTAATAGCAGATAAAACTAGGGAGGTCGCATTAATGGTCTTTGCTAAATTACATGCAAGAGAATTTAAATTTACATGAGCTCAGACAGCAAGTGCTGGTACCCCTACTAATGAAATACCTAAGGCATTGTATTCTGCTTTATTGAGGAGGGTTCTAGAAGAATCACAAGTATCGTCCAGGGTTACTGATCTTCTATGACGTTTTGAACTGGATATGTTAAGTTCTGTTCTTGTTGGCAAAAACGTGGTGAGTCTACTAAGGCAACAGTGTGTGGTACTTACATTGGCAGGAATGTAATTAAATGTCTCTTTCCCGCAGGTAAAGAACCATCCCTTTTGCAACCATATATGCGCAAAATTAAAGGATACCTCTTTAAAGGAGGTACAATTTAAAATCCCTTCACTGACCTGTATACAATGAGGTTTTTTAGGTGAAGTAGTACAATTGACAATTTTTGCACAAGTAAGATTTTTGCACAAGTAAGGCACAGCTACAATTGGTGTATGCAAAACAATAGCATCAAGGGGTAACATATAAGAGGCATGACCCCAGCTTGACATAGTTGCATAATGAAACTCTTTGTCTGATAGAAAAGTGCTTAAACCAGTATAATTTTTTAGAACTGAAGCTGGGACACACACAGGTATAAGACAGGTAGAGAGTAGATTTTCCATGTCATATGATTCAGAAATACAAAAGTCTGTCACTTGTGTTACATTAGCTAATTGCACCCAAATATTATATTTCATCCGTGATTCTAAAGGATGAGGTGGGAGAGCTTCAGCCCCCATGCAGCAATTAAGAAGGAAAGAGAGGCAAAGAATGACTAAGGAATTTGCAGTCAAAACTGCAAATTATGGCAGCGCATAAATTCTCTGGTGTAGGTTCTTTTCCCTGTTGTCTCAGAACCTCCTGCACTTTGGATGTTAGGTTCTTCACATCGCCCCAAGTCGTTGGCTGACTGCGATGGCAAGAGCGAAAGGGACGTTGTGCTGTCTGAAGAGTCACCTGCTTCATTTTGGGTTCTGCATTTGATGCCATGACATCTTTGGCTGGTTGCACACACTGGGCTGGAATCCAGAGAGGGCCTGTAGGAGCAAGCAGAGAGCATAGCCTTGCCCCCAAATTAGTAAGGGAATTGGATTTAACCAGGTTTTATCAGGCAATTGCTGATAATATACCAATGGATTAGGAAGCACAGCTTTCTGCTGAAAGTGATGCTGGTAGGCAGTAGTGTTTTGAAACTTTAGCTGGTTTAAAGTTATTAAGACTTTATTGACTTGATGCAAATTGCAAATTAGGTACCCTTGATCCCTCCTTTTTTAATTGTTTATGAAGGCAGTCCTTAAAGGACTGATACATATATGAGAAACAAAGGATAGCTGCTGTAAAGTTGAAAACAAAGCCATAAGATTGGAGT